ATAGAAATCATGTCTTACTAGGAGAACAATTACTTATCAGTAGTGGTACTTTCTATTTAATAAGAGCTCTATTCAAAACATGTGAGTTAGAATTTCGCAGGTTCCGAATAAAACACTCCAAAGTATTGATGATCAAAAGGTATAAACAAATACAGGAATTAGTATAAATAACCAAAACCTTCACAATGGGAGGGGGGCTTTTTCCCTAATAACTCTTCCCATTCTGAATTGAATAAGGGTGGTGTGTGTGTGTGTGTGTGTGTGTGTGTGTGTGTGAGTTAGGGAGCAAAAAAAAAAAAAAAAAAAAGAAAAAAAGAAAAAAGAAAAAAGAGAAAAGAAAAAAAGAAAAAGAAAAGAAAGAACTTATATTTTTATAAATAGTTCTTCCAAAGACAAGAGATGCAGCTACCTTTATAGACCAGCACTCTGGAATGACTTCAGGTGGAGTAAATAAAGCAGAGGGGCTGATGACATAGCTTGGTGGCACAGCACTAGTCTAACCAAGTGCCAGGCCCTAAATTCAATCACCAGCTGCAAGACAGAAAAACATTAAAAAAAAAAAAAAAAAAAAAAAAAAAGAACATGTGCCCAAATGATCTCTCTACAGAACTGCAAACTAGTTGGGCTAGCTGAGCAACTTTCTCACAATGCATAAATTAAACTCCCAACTGTCCAGGTTTAATCAATGCAACTTTCCCAGTAAAGTCATGGATAGAAAACTGTCACTTCCAAGCAGACTAACCCTAAACATGACTTATTCCAGGGCTGAAGGAATGGCCACACAGTTAAGAGCACACACTATCTCTTCCAGAGACACTGGAGCTTGGTTCTTTTCTCAGCACCCACTTAGGGCATGTGGCTTTCTTAGTCACCAGCAGAGAGGCACACATACATATAGTTAAAAAGTACTAAGGGGCTGGAGAGATGGCTCAGCAGTTAAGAACACTGGTTGTTCTTCCAGAGGACCTGGATTCAATTCCCAGCACCCACATGGTGGCTCACAACCATCTGTACCTCCAATTTCAGAGATCCAATACCCTCTTCTTGGGCCTCCACAGACAGCAAGTATGCAGGTGTTGCAGTCATACAAATAGGCAAAACACCCACATACATAAAATATATTTTTAGTTAATAAAAATATATCTTTAAAAAATAAATCAAATTTCATTGGGACTTTAGATGCTAATTTAGAGACCAATTTCATAATCAAAAAATGCAGCTTCCTAAAAGTTGTTACTAACAATACAAATGAACTGAAAAGCAAAGAAGCAGGGTGGGGAGCAGCAATAGGGTTGGAAAGGAGAGGAAGGCAGATTTAAAAGCAAAACCAACATGGCAAGACCTTCAGAAGACCCACTAAATTAAACTTGCAATGGTTACCGCCTGCATGTATGTAACCGGTGCATTAAAAAGAATGTAAAGCTGAATGAACATGGGACCACCGGCCTGTAATCATTTTACTCAGTAGGCAGAGGCAGCAGGATCACCCAAAGTTCAAGGCCAGCTCGCCTACAAAGTGTGACCCTGTCCCCCAAACAAACAAAAAAAGAGTGAGTGATGTAAAGTCTACATGAAACAGATTTAAAAAGACCAGAAGGCTCAACTACTGTGCTTTTCTAAGCTGCCATCACAACTCAACTAAAATTTCTGTGGGTATTAGTCAGGCATCGGTATTTTGTAAAACTCTCCAAGAAATCTCAATGCTCAAGGAAGACTGAAAACCACTACCCAAAACCTTGGAATTAAAAAGCAGTGAAAAGAACTGGGAGGGCATGGCTAAGTGGCAGAACACTTCCCTAACACTCATGAGACCTAAATTCCATCCCAGCAACAGTGGAGCCCTAGGGCAATTAAAAAGGGGGAGGGGGAGACAAGTTTTCCAAACTGGAGAAAAAAATTCCTATTTAAAGAATGAATAATAAAATTCTGTCCTTGTATGAAAAGAGACTTAGAATCATCTTCAAATTGATTAATACAATAATCTTTAGCAACTATCTGACCTATGAACTTTACCAATTATAGGCATCTGATCACCAACCATTTTCCTTTTATATAAGCACCACCTATTCCGTTCCTTAACTACCCCAGTCCTCATTCCCTTTCATATTCAAAATAAATCTTCCTGGATGCCAATTACACCACATAACAGTGTCAAGGTGACACAATCTAAAATATCTTGTTTCTGAGAAATTGGTACGCAGCCAAAATTTCCATTACCAAAATTACACATTTTAAAAAAGGGGGAAAAAATTCAACAATTCTGTGACACATTAGCATAAGTTGAGTACAAATACTAAGATGCCCCCAGTGTAATAAAAGTGGCTCATATGCATACTATTTACACATGCTTATCAGTTATCTGAATGTCTCATCTTAAGCAAGTGAATCTTCATCAACTGACAGGCAAAAAACAACATAAAACAAACATCTAAGTAGTCTGAGAAATCTATACTGCAGGTGACATTCTGGTTTAACTCCTTAACTTTCATTTAGCAAACAAAAACAATGAAACCATTAGTTTTACACATGACTATAGTTCATCTGAGTCACTCCTGCTCATGGCTTTAACAAAATACAATGGAGGGTAGGGGTAGCCACACATACAATGAAGCACTGAAAAAGCTATCACAGGATATTTAAAGAGACCTCACTCTGGATGAATGAAAAATGAAAAGAAAAACAAAACCACGGCATCAACTAGATGGGGACAAAACTGAAATAGGTAATATTTTAACATCAGAAAAAGATGTATGTTCTCACCAAAAGAGGCAAAACTTTAAACAAGCCCAAAAATGCATTTTAAATTTAACCAACTCTGCAGACTCTATAGAGTTAATTGCCCTAGTAGATGCTTGAGCCATGAACAGCTCAATTAGAAGAGTATTTGCCAATGTTGCTATAACTCTGGCTCAATGGGGGGGGGGGTGGTTTCTAATTGAGGTGAGGTGTGACTGGCGCAGGCAGTTTAATACTTGTTTCTTTTGTGTGTGTGTGTGTTGTGAGTGTGTGTAAAAGGGGAATCCAGAAACAAAATTCGCAAACAGAAATACTTTAACTAACAGCATAAATGAAACAGTGACTTTAGAAAAAACAAGTAACCCAGTGTAAGTACATATAAGAAGAACTGTTTCAGGAGCAAAGCCATTAGGAAAGCTCAGGTCCATATAAAATATATTCCAAATTACTTCCACTGACTTGCTTAGCAGAATTTTTATTAATTCTGTAAACACAATTTTAATTCTTTCCTCAAACTTAAGATTTACAATGGAAACATTTAGTCAAAATTATGAACTACTTCAATATGTATGTTTGTATGGAAGTAATATCTCTTTAAGGCAAACTCACTCAAAAGCCTAAGAAAGCAAAAAAAAAAAAAAAGTCAACATTATGTCAGTTCTCTTCAGAAAGGCTTTGTTTTAATTACAGCAATTTAAGCCTACATAATTCATCACATCAAGACCTGAAGCTACATGGGAATTAGTCTGCCGCTGTGCATGTCTGTAACAAGTTCACTGAAGAAAACAAAATCATGAGCGTGTGGGCACCTTGTCCCAATCTTGTATTCCAGCACTAAGAGGCTGAGAATGGATGGTTAGGAGTCCAGGAAGACTGGAAGGAGTAGGAAGCCATATACACTCATGACACTATTATGAATGAAGCATTAGGGAGAAACTATACTTTTAAAAATATCCTACCAATCATTTACACTTCAAAACAACATGCATTAATCCTATCAGATCTTCTCAATGGAGGCAAGAGTCTACAACAGTAGGGGAAAATTACTTTAGAACATCTTATATTACATTTCAGCTACAAGTACTTCAGGTCATAAATACTGTTAAATTTATGACATCTATAATAAAAATTATTCAAATGCGGTGCTTAGAATCGAATTGCTCTAATTACTTTGGGAATGTATACATTTCTGTACTTTCAGTTGGGTTCCATACAGTTTTGCCGTTCAGCACAAAGTCCTGAACCTAATTCCTAAAACTATCAAACAATCAAGCTGCTACTTTGAGGATGCTAAATCTGGCAAAATCCAAAGATTGTTAAAAAATTAACCGAGATTACAAGCCTGCAGAACATGAACTCAGGGTGCTCTAAATAACTCGCTCTTTTATCATGTTTCTTTATTTCTAAGTAAGTGACAATCCCACCTTAAATTAGCAAAACCTGATGGCACTGGGGGGAAAAGTAATTTGTAAATAAATTAACATGAAAAAAAATCAACTTTAACATTTTTTAAAGCTTACTCCGGCTTTCGTGGGGGCAGTGGGAAGGAGGTATCAATCAACAGGGCTTTTTAAAGCCTCCCTAACTCGCAAAGGAACCTTTCAAGTTAACTAAACACGCCCATGTCTTTGAAAATCTGGCTTGAGAAATCATAACAGCAGTTTGGGGTGCTGAAGCCAACGCCCTCCACCCTACACCAATTTCACGCTCTGTGCATGTAGCCCTAACAATAAAATAAACTACGCCTTTTATTAGGAGACACGTTTTATTAGGGGAGGGAGGTGGTTCAGTTAGGCGCTAAGAATGTTTCCCGCATGCCGCCATCACCCACGATACCCAAAAAGTAAACAAACCAAAGCTACAAACGTAAACTGAAGGGACACAAACAGGAAGAGAAAGTGGGGACAAAGAGAAAACAAACACTTGCTGCTGGGAAAAAGGCACCAGGACGGACAGACCGACCCGGGGTACCCCGGCCACAATTGAACTCTCGGCCGCCGGACGCCACGGCCCGGGCCGCGGCCAAACTCCTCCCGAACAACAAAGAGCGGCGGCGCGGACTGCGCTCGAGTTCCCGGGACGGCTCGCTTAACTGCGAGCGGAGTTGGGGCCCGGGACCTACGGGCGAGCACGCGGAGCTGGGGCGCGCGGGGAAGACCCACCCGAGCCTCGCCGGGCCCGCGCTCGCGCCGGTCGCCGCGGGAGCCCGCCCCGGGGCGGGGAAGCGCGGGCGCCGAGGCCCGGGCAGGGGGACCGCGCATTACCTGGGCTCCGCACCGCTCCGCGCCGTCGCTTCCCGGGTCCGGCCCGCGGCGTCCGGCCCAGGCGCCCCCTCTCCCCGCCGCGCCGCGCCGCGCCGAGGACCGCGCGGGCCGGGCCGCTGGAGCTCCGGAGCCGCCCCGCCGCGGGGGGCCTCGCTCGCGGGCGGCCGGCTCCCGTCACGCGCTCCCACCCCGGGGACGGCTGCGGAGCCGAGCGCGACGCGAAAAAGGCCTCCCGAGGACAGCGGGAGGGCGCAAACACAGGCTCCGCCACCCGAGCCGCTCCGTTACCGCAGCGGCGACGACGACCAGGGCCGTGTTGTTGCTGCCAACTTGTCGGAAGGACACTGAGCATGCGCGCGCGGAGACCACATCCGGGTAATTTCAGGGTTTGGCCCTTTTCCCCCCGCAGCGCTCCTTTCTCCCGGCTGCCCCCGCCTCCCGCCCAGATCAGGGAGGGTTCCAGTGCGCAGGCGCCCGCGGGCAGCAGCGGTCTGTGCACTATCCTAGTCCCAGCAGGGCAGGCCCAGGCTGTGTGCGCTGAGCGGTGGCGGTGCAGAGTTGCTGTTTCGCGGGGACAGTTTAAAGAGAACCCAAGCAGCGTGGGACAGGTCGGGAGAAGCGATGTGTAGCGCTGCCGGGTTGGGTTGGGTTTTTGAAGACCTTGGTGGACACAACTGCACTAACTGCAGGTGTTTGTAGCAGTTGACTTTGGAGGGGGCATGTTGGGGGGAGGGGAGCGTCTGTCCCTTTCATCCCACTAACCCGGAATCGAGCTCTGATGGTTAAACTTGAAGGCGCACAGGACAGCCGAAGAATCACACTTGCAGAGGCCTTGGCCGGTATGGCCAAATAGTGAGCACTTAGAAAAGAGAAAAATTTCAAGTTAGAGGCGACCTTCGAGATTTATTGTACACCTGCAGAGTAGATTATGCGAACTGGGACTTGTGGCCCAGTTTCAGAATTTAACACAATACATAACAAAAGTCAAAATTCTCTCCTAATAGTTAGGTGGCCAGATACCTAAAACCTCCAGGGCAACCTAAGGGGACAATTAAAAATTTGCTGTCTATGTACAAAGCCTTGTTTCCATCCGAGCACCACACCACAAAAAGTCAAAACAAAGGTTGATCCTTCGGGGGCAAAAGGCTCATCTCTTGATTTTGACTTTCTAATTGTTTTCTAATTTTATTAATCTCATACTGATTAGAACACAGGCCTACCATATGCTCCCTGGCTTTGATTCATAGCATGTGCGTGCAATCCCAGCACTTGGGAGGCAGAGGCAGGGGGATTGCCAGCCTGGTAGGTCTACATAGCAAATTTCAGACCAGGAACTAAAATAGAGTGAGACCCTATCTCAAAGATAATTAATTTAGACGTCCCGGAAACATAAATTATATGTTGCCTTTTTGTTTCATTTTTTACCAGCCTGGAAATACTTCCATCAGGATTCCTTCAAGACAAGCTATTGGACCGTTCTGAGTCATTTCTTAAGTCCTGTGCGGTTCACACTCTGCCCCTTCCTTCCACAGTCTGTACCATCCCAACCTGGTTCAGAACTCTTCAACCAGAAAGCCCCTGAGACTGTCATCTGCAACTGGTCTTCTCTTACCCCTGAGGTGTAAGAAGGCTTTTCAAGACTATTCAGAAAATTAATTTCCAGATCCTATATTACCATGTGTACTGTTTTCTGAAGTTCCTCATCTCAACAAAGCAGTTGAGGGCAACATTTCCTTTCAAAACTGTCCTCACACCTTACAAAAGTCAAAATTATTTCACATTATTAAGGTGGCCCAATATATATAAAACCCCAGGATAAACCAAAGGGACTGGGGATTTGAATCCAAAGGGATTCAAAAATTGGTGTCTGCAATGAGAAAATGTATTACTTAGATGAATCAATAGTAAATTCCTTTGCAAATCCAATACTTTGCTGTCATCAAAATTGAAGGGTGAAGTACAAATTGGACTCTGTAGGTTAAAAAAAGAAGAGGAGGAGATGAAGTTGGGAGAGGGATAGGAGGATTGGGGGAGTTCTGGGGCTACTGTAGGGAAGGCCAGGGTAGATAAGATCTATATACAGTGAAACTCCCCAAGAATACAATTGAAAGATGGAAGGAAGATCTTTCAGCTGGCAGATTGGTTGTAGATCAATCCCTGAGTCCTTGGGAATATCATGGCTACCATCAAACTTTTGTGTCAGGTATGGATGTCTGCATAATATGTTACCACAAGTTTAGAGGGTTAATGCAGTGCATACTCACTGTCTGTTCCCAGTCTGTTCCCTAGCCACAACTCAGCTAGGTCCTCTGCAAAGCAAGGTTCCCTACACCCCAGCCTCTTGGCTCCTTGGCCTTTGCCCTAACTCAGCCATGAACTGCTGTGGTGTTATTTATGGGAGTCTTATCAAATTGTATACCTTCACAATTACAGTTTCAAACAGCTGATACTCATATCACTACCTCCTGGTTCAGATCATTCTCTGAACCATGTCAAGCTCTCAAGGATTTTCAGCTCCGGCCTCTGCCTTCTCAAACCCTTGCCTAGTTCTAGCTTCTGGCCAGCCATTATAGTCACTCTTGCACTTACCCTCAGCCCCTTGTTTTTCTCCCCCTTTTGTTGAGTTCAGCAAAAAAACCACAATCATGATTCAAGCTGGCTGTCCATTAGGACCCAAGCATCTGAATATAGCTATAGAAAAACACAATACTTATCTCCATTTTCATTTTATCTCTGTGAACCTCAGGTTCCTACCTCCCACCTCCATTTTTTGTAGATTTCATTCTTTCTCTGTCTTCCAAACTATACATCTTCCTCTTCAAGGAATAACCTTGCTTTCTATTTCATTGAGGACATTGAAGCAATGAGCCACAAGTCACATCTACCCTAATCTACATACCAGCCCTGTCTCTGCCTTGCCCCTCGTTACACAATTAGATTTCCACATGCCCAGCTATTGTGTGAGAGACTTTTCCTGGTGAGAAATGACATACATATCTACTCACCACAGAAAGGGATCCCAGGAATGGCCAACGTAACTATTGCACACAATCCAACATGGTGAACCAATGAGTTTGTGTTGGGGTTGCTAACTGGAGTATGGATGAAAGGTTACTCTCAGGAGCAGGGATGACTCAAAATGCAGCTGCTTCTGGAAAAGTCCAACCCCCCCCCCAACACCAGTGATGACTCACAAAAGCTGCAACCCTGGAACTCTCTGCCCAGCTTGCAAGCAGCTCAACAACTCCCCAAAATTCCTTCTCTGCAGCTCAGCTGGTCATAGCACCCTTCTCCAGTACTTGTATTCTCTTCTATAAAGCTGGGAAGGGGCCTTCAAGAATTTTCCAAGTAGGAGAATTAAAAGGGACTGTGGGAAGCAGTAGTAGAGGGACTAGTAGGATCCATGTGATTTGAATAGGGAAACTGGAGAAGGGGAGCAGGGTATTAATTGAGGAAGGAAGGTCCATACAGAAAGAGAGGGAAGAAGGAGGGTAAAATAGCACTAAGGATTGTAGTGAGATAGTCCTTCTGTAGCACTGACCACGCCCATTGGGGGGTGGAGCCATGGGCGGAAGTGACCTGTGGAAGGAGGTTGGAGGGGGCCAGGAAGGCGCTCTCTTTCTGGCGTGACTCGGACAGGAGAGGATCGGGTTGAATTTCCTGGTGTTCATCTGTCTAGGTTGTAAGTTATTTCTCCCTGAATAAACATCTATTCGGCCTATTTGTTTATCCTGATCCTTATTTACCGCGATATCTGGTGTCAGAAGTGGGATAGGAGACAAATATAGAAGACTGCTTGACCTTGCCAAGTCAGGGTAAGACAGCCATTCTTCCTCCCTGCTGTTGTTGTGGTCTGTCAAGTTCTCTTGGCCTTAGCCAAATCTGGGTGTACCAACGTCGCTGTGAGACCTAGGGTGACTGTTCAGGTGGCTTGCTGTTTCTGTCCTTGCTGCACCTTTTGGAAGTTGTCCATCCCCATTTCCTGTCTACTCTAGTATTGTTAATTTCCTTCTCAGGTCTTGATGAGGTTGAAGATTAAACTATCACAACTATTATTCTCTCTTCCTAGTTAGATATATTAGGTACTAGACTTATGTTTTCCAGCTTAGGACAACTCTATTGTAAACTCCATTATGCCCTCACCCTAGGACTAGATATGTAGGTCATTTTGTTCTCAATTTTCCTTTTCTTGGAGCACACTTGTTATTCACTGTTTTGTATATAGTTTTGTATTAAGCCTAAATCTTTTCTTTAGACTAAAAGGGGAATTGTAGTGAGATAGTCCTTCTGTAGCACTGACCACGCCCATTGGGGGTGGAGCCATGGGTGGAAGTGACCTGTGGAAGGAGGTTGGAGGGGGCCAGGAAGGCGCTCTTTCTGGCATGACTCGGACAGGAGAGGATCGGGTTGAATTTCCTGGTGTTCATCTGTCTAGGTTGTAAGTTATTTCTCCCTGAATAAACATCTATTCGGCCTATTTGTTTATCCTGATCCTTATTTACCGCGATAAAGGATGCCTTCAAACGCCACATGGAATCACTATTAGTTATTTAAACATAAATATACCAATAAGTTTATGTATATACATATATAATTTAATGAAGTTTTCCCACTTGAGTTGACAGTGTACCCCTCCCTCACACACCCCAAGAATCTTAAACTAACAAAAACTCTTAATGACAAGTATGTGAAACCTTTCAAGTTGTTGGTCCAAGAGACTCCCAAAACAATACAGGCTATTGCTGTTGCTCCTGGTTACCTCCCAGAGGTTGAAGGTTAATTGCTATTGCAGAAGACATCACACACTTCAGGTACAACCCAGAAGATATGAGCTGGATTTGATCTGAAAGCCTCTTCTCTGAGGTCTAGCTTTCATAGTCTCAGAAGGTGCTGTGCAAGCTTCCAAAGGTAGAAAGCAACCAGCTGTGACTTCTATGAGCCACAGCATCAACCAGCATGGCATGATAACTATTAAGAGTGCAATTGTGGCACTTGGGTCTTGGAGGTAAGCAACAGCTGTCTAATTGTATCTGAGGCATGATCAACAGGAGGGAAATCATGCCTAGTACTGGAAACCCAGCCAATTACCCAGG